TCCCGGGTTTCAAAAGAAGCAGCTCCTCTCCCTCCCTCCCTGCCGGCCAGGCAGGAGGGAGGCTCCAACTGTGTTGCTTGGCTGTGTTGCTCACCCAATAAGGAGTCTAAGAACAACTGGGGGGTGGAGCTTGCATGCCTTGTGCCGATCACATCAGCCACGTTGGTGTAGTGGTTAAGAACAATAGACCCATAATCTGGGGAAGCAGGGTTTGTGTCTCCGCTCCTCCACATGCAGCTGCTGGGTGACCTTGGGCTAGTCACACTTCTCTGAAGTCTCTCAGCCCCACTCACCTCACAGAGTGTTTGTTGTGGCGGAGGAAGGGAAAGGAGAATGTTAGCCGCTTTGAGACTCCTTCGGGTAGTGATAAAGTGGGATATCAAATCCAAACTCTTCTCCTTCCTGGGGACTCACCTTTGCTCAGCGCTTCCCAGCGGTGGTTTTCCTTGCTGCATCCCCTCTGCCGGGTTGCTGCGCTGTGGGAACCACCGCTTGAGGCTTCGTTTGGCTGCTGGTTGACTAAAATCCCTTATTTTGGCTGCTGATCCCTTATTTTCTCTAAGTTGACAGCTATGGCTTGGATGCATGAGCTTTGACCCCAGGGTTCTAGTTGGGTGTCACCTGTTGACCAACTGAATACCACCAGAAACAGTTCAAAACACAGGAAAAACCAGTAGAGTATGTTAAGGGGACAGAAGACTCTTTCCTCCAGACTGTAGCCTGCAAGGTGTCTTGGTGAAGTCTGGCAGGAGACAGAGCAGGAGAGCAGGACCATGGAGCTTGGTTAAATCAGATTAGCTGCAGAGCATTCAAGCGCACCAAGCTAGAAGGTTGTCCTCAGTCTGGACACTGAGGTCCAGTGCCAAAGGCCTTCTGGCAGTTCCCTCACTGTGAGAAGTGAGGTTACAGGGAACCAGGCAGAGGGCCTTCTCAGCAGTGGCGCCCACCCTGTGGAACGCCCTCCCATCAGATGCCAAGGAAATAAACAACTATCTGACTTTTAGAAGACATCTGAAGGCAGCCCCGTTTAGGGAAGTTTTTAATGTTTGAAGTTTTATTCTGTTTTTAGTGTTCTGTGGGGAGCCACCCAGAGTGGCTGGGGAAGCCCAGCCAGATGGGCAGGGTATAAATAATGAAATTATTATTATTATTATTATTATTATTATTATTATTATTATTATCCCTCCAAGGAAACTGTTGGTGTTTCAAAAAGCTGCGCTCTTGCCCTATTCCTCAGGCACCGGCAGAGCTGTGGAGTCTCCAGCTCAAAAGTGCTGGGATCTCTTGAGGAGCTGTTCTCAGAGTCAGAAGAGGTGCAGGCAACCACCATAAGCGATGGAAGAGAAGGCAGCAGTCCTGGGCAGCAGTCAGAAGAGAATCAGAAGCCATGAACCAGAAGTCCAGATTGAAGAGTGATCGAGATCCGAGGGCAAGCCAGAAGGTGGGACTTGAGAACCAGCCAAGAGTCAGGACTGAAGGCCAGCCAGAAAAACAAGACACACCAGAAGTCAGGCAGACATCATTGCTCAAGAAAAGTTCCATTGAGAACAGCAAAGGCAAATTTTACCTTTGTACAATCTATGCTCACACAGCCCTCTCTACTCTCCATCCTGGAAAACAAGAGGTTAAAGGGCACATTCCAGCCAAGCACTCGGAAAGTGAATCTAGGCCACTGAGGGGTGTGTCCTAAAAAGAGGAGGCGTGGCCTGTGGAGAGGGCCTACCGTGTATACGACAATATTTTTTCCTTAGAAATATTAGGCAAAAGTTGTGGGTCGTCTTATACACGGATACCAGAGGGGGGACGGGCGATTGGTGGCAACAGCCAGCAGGAGATTGTCAGGAGCGATTGGCGTGTGATTGGTTGCTGCAGCAAGGCCTGCTGACAATTGGCTGCAGCTGCAGCAATTGGGCGGGCTATTTGCGGCAGGGGCGAGTCGTGCATGCAGTCGGCTGTGGTTGCGTCAAGCGTGCAGGTGGGCTTTTGGCTGCGTACATTCATACGATTGGTGGCCGCAGCAATGCGTGCGATTTGCATTGGCAGGCAGGCTGTAGAAAAGCCCCAGAAAAGCTTTTCAGAAAAGCTCAACAACTCTGGGCAATCTCCCCCCCCCCAAAGAAAGCTCAACAACTTTGGGTAATTCCCCCCCCCCAAATTTTCTTTTGCTGCCATCCAAAAAAATAGGGGTCGTCTTATACATGGGGCGTGTTATACATGGAAAAATACGGTATAGTGGTACCTCGGGTTACATACGCTTCAGGTTACAGACTCCGCTAACCCAGAAATAGTACCTCGGGTTAAGAACTTTGCTTCAGAATGAGAACAGAAATTGTGCTCCAGCGGCGCGGCAGCAGTGGGAGGCCCCATTAGCTAAAGTGGTGCTTCAGGTTAAGAACAGTTTCAGGTTAAGAACGGACCTCCGGAACAAATTAAGTACTTAACCTGAGGTACCACTGCATTACTTTTCTTATTGTGCACTTTCTACCAAACCAGGGACTAACAGGTCACAGGTTCTAGGAACCCAAAGATTCTGTATCTCACTGTCTTTATTATCATCCACAGAACTCATAGATGATTTTGTACTCCTTCTTCATGTCCTTCAACTACAATGGTTCAGTCCTCAGTTATGAATATTCATGACTCTAATAACTTAAAACATGGGTTCTTAACCTATGGTCCATGGGTGCCTGGGGGGCACAAACTGGGTCCTTTTTTTTTTTACCCCAATGCAATACAACCAATTGTATGCAAAATTCTGTATGAATGTGCTCATGTAGATTCCCCCCCCCCCCCGGCCAGGAAGCAGGTTTAGTTTTCATCAGATTCTCAAAATGGTCTGTGTCCCAAACCAATATAAGAACCACTGAATTAAAATATTTCACGCATGCTTTCCATATCACTAGGAACACTCTTTTATCTAAAAACTATCAGCACGAAACGTACAGAAAGACCTGGAAACTTACAGACCAGTTCAGTCCTTGTTTACTCGGAAGTAAGTCTCACTTTGTGCTATGGGACATTTACAGATGAGAGTGCCTACAACTGCAACATCAGTCTTTAAGTAAGTGTTCTTGCTTAATATGTTTGAATATGTACAGAGAAGGAGCCAAAAAGACTGTCTCTAAGCAGACACATTTCTGCAGTGCAAAAAAAGCATGTAGGTTATGGTTTAATGGTGTAATAAAGACTCCATTTAGTTGCAAACCAATATGCCTTAATTGTATGTGGCCATGGGCTACTCTACATGCCTGTTCAAGAAATCTATGAATGCCCGAATGGGATAGTTGATTTACATCAGTTATTTAAGTTGGCTTAATTTAAATCACCATGTATTGTGTTTCAGCTGAGTTCGGGTGTTTACGATTGCTCTGCAGTGGGTAATTGCACATCATCACTTGGCGCAATGGTCACATAGGTGAGTTGGCCATAAAATGCACATTTAATCCACTCACATGCTCTTTGTGCCACACACAAATGCTACTGAGATGTGCTTTTCACATTACAGCAGCCCTGGATCCATCCCATGGGGCAGCTGCAACGTTTTAAGGGCTTGTAACCAGGTGGCCAGGACGAAATGTGAGAGTTGCTGCTCATACAAAATTGGCACTGCGGGGTAAAATGTGGCCCCCATGTTGGTGCTGTTACACCACCTGACGCAGGGCAAATGAGAGAAAACGAATTTATATTTTCCAGTCAATGTAAGATTGCATTACATTACACTGCGTTATAGGTTATTCATGAAAATGTTTTCCAGGTCCAGGTCTGACAGCTTTATTTTTCTTTCTTTTTTGCCCTGGTGCAGCCATGAAACCCTGCTCTTTACCACTGGTGCAGCTGCAGAAAACCCAAATTGCTGTATGCTCTGATTCAGTAGTAAAGAGCAGGTTTTCCTGGGGAAAGTGATGGGCAAACAAACAAAGAGTGCTCTGAGACAGGCCTGGAAAGCCCAGACCTTGTGCCTATAATGTGTGGGTCAAAAATGTGGCTGAGCCCTAAGTTACTACAGATCCTGACTGATCCCTCTGTGAAATTATTTCTCCCGGTGATCACATGGAAGAAAACTGAAGCTCTTATACTGTACTTTACTACACTTCTGTAAAGCGCTTTGTGAATTGACGGCACTGTATCAAGAAGCAAAACAGCCCTCCTCCTCAGATATACAGGATAGAGGCGTAGTTGTGTTAGTCTCTTGTGCAAAAACCACGAGTCCTCTGGCACCTTAAAGCCCAACATTTATTGTCACATAAAACTTTTGCTACAAGGAAAGCCTTGAAGGTGCCACAGGACTCTTGTTGCTTCTACACAAATATATAGCTACAGGCGAGGAATGGAAAATAGGTGGCAGAAAAAAGAATCCCTTTTTCTTTGTAGTGCCAAGAAGCAGCCCAATAAAAACCCCGGTATCTTTTTCCTTCCCTAGCCCACAACCAAGGACGTCTACTCTCCTTACGCATGTGAACATTTATCTTGTGACGATCGGGATTTTTTTTAGGCTCAGACACACACAGCCCATTAATGCGTCTTGCATTTCTGTCCCCCCCCCCCCGCCCCGTCCTTGCTGGAATCAACCTTGGTCTGAAAGGCATGCTTTTAAATCTTATTTCTTAAAACAAAAACAAAAAAAACTGTTGCAGGTCTACAGATTCTTCGCCCCCCGCCTCCCTCCCCCCGACAGCCACCTTGCTATTTTGCAGGTCTCTTGTTCACACGCACCTGCAATTATCCTGAATTATACTATGGCGAGGGGGAGGCGGGGGGTGCTGAAGGGTGGAGGAGACTTGCTGCAAAAGAAGCAGCCATCGCTCCTCCATCCTCCAAGAACCACATCATTCCAGCTTCTCCCACCCCCCATCCCCTTTCTCCTTCCCCCCTCCAACCAGTAGGGACCCAGGTTGCCACCACGTGAGCATCCGCCTGGCTTGGCCCTCCTCTTCTTGCGCATACAGAATAGTAGGCGGGCTTTAACCGGGGTTTTTTTTTCCTCTCCTTCTCTGCCTCCCTCTCCGCCTCCCCCCCCCCCCCGCAATGTCAGATCCGCTGCAGAAGCGCGGGGCAGCCTGCAAGGCAGAAGGAGGCGCCGCGCGCAGCTGACGGGGGCTCCCCAAAAAGCCTGCAGCCGCGAGGAGGCGAGCGGAAGGTCGGCGCCCTCGCGGGGGCGGGGGGTCGCCTTGGCTGGGGAGGGGAGAGCCGTCTCCATCTTCTCCCCCACGAACGGCGTCGCTCCAGTATTAGCCTCGCCTGCGCCGGATCCCCGGCCGGAGAAAGGACCGAAGCGGAGGGTTCCTGCTTGCAAAGCAGCCGGGGGAAAAACGGGTGCCCTAGGAGAGGAAAGTCAGACGGTGGTTAGTAGGGGGGGGGTGGGAATTAATTGCAAAATAAACGCATGCGGCAGAGGCACCATCTCACCTCGCAGTGGGGGAAAAACTGGGTGAAAGAAGACACCCCCCCTCCCCAAAGAGCAAGCCCGGCTGGATCCCATTGTGTGTGTGCGCGCGCGCGCGTGGTTTAGTCGATCGGAGCTGAAGGTTATTGTGGAAGGAAGCGGCCTCCTGCAGCAGCAGCAGCAGCGTGTCGTCGGGAGTGGGCGGAGGGAGCCGGGGTGGCGGCGCTTTCCAACGTGGGATTCCATGGCTCTGGCGGCGGAGCTCTGGTGACCCGGGGAGAAGCGGCTCGACTGCGGCAATGCTGCCAGCAGCAGCAGCAGCAGCACCGACGGCTCTGCTGAGAGGAGGCGCCTGAGCAGCTGCGGCGGAGGCGAGGGCAGGCGGCAGGATCCGGCCACATCCACCCTTCCCCCGCTGCCTTTTCGGTTTCCTCCCGCCGCCCCTCCAAACGGATTCGCCTCCCCACTCCACAAACCTCTGCCCACCGTTTGCGCTCTGCTCGCCACCCGAGGGGAGGCGAGGCGTGCGCGGCTTGGCTTGAGCGGGTCTCTGCGTCCTCATTTTGCCCTCCGACGACCCCCGCGGCCAAAGCCCTTGGGAGCATGGCTACCCTGCTGCGGAAAATCGGGCTCATCCGGATCCACAACAGGGACACCGAGGACCCCAAACATCACCATCACCACCACCGTCGCGGCAGCATCCAGCAAGGCTCCTCGCTGCGGGGCAAAAGCAACCAGAAGAATAAGCAGCAGCAGCTGCAAGGCACGCCGGCCAGCGGCTGCGGGAGCCCCGGCAAAGAGAGCTGCAGCAGCAGCCGAGGCAGCAGCCCCGCGCGCAACAAGCCCAAGAAGGTGCTGGAAGTGGCCAAGCAGCAGCAACAGGCGAGCCCCGACGGCGCGCCCGAGAAAGCGCAGCAGCAGCAGCAGCAGCGCGACGCCAAGGAGGCTGGCTCGGGCAAGGACCCGGCGTCGGGGGGCAGTGTTGGGCGCTCCAGCACCCCGGCCTTGGTGCCGCCGTCGCTGGTGCCAGCCAGCCGGCAGGCGCACTGCACGCAAGTGCGCACCCGACGGCTGATGAAGGAGCTGCAGGACATCGCGCGCTTGAGCGACCGCTTCATCTCGGTGGAGCTGGTGGACGAGAGCCTCTTCGACTGGAACGTCAAGCTGCACCAGGTGGACAAGGACTCGGTGCTGTGGCAGGACATGAAGGAGACCAACACCGAGTACATCTTGCTCAACCTCACCTTCCCGGACAACTTCCCCTTCGCGCCGCCCTTCATGCGGGTGCTCAGCCCACGTCTGGAGAACGGCTACGTCCTGGACGGCGGAGCCATCTGCATGGAGCTGCTCACCCCCCGGGGCTGGTCCAGCGCCTACACCGTCGAGGCCGTCATGCGCCAGTTTGCCGCCAGCCTTGTCAAAGGGCAGGTAAGGAAGGAAGGGGCTCCTGGTGGGGGGGGACTCTTGTGTGGGGGCTCTCTAGGGCGAGAAGCAGCGGGTCCTGGCCCACTGAGAGGCCTTGGGTGGCACCCAGCCTGGCTGTGGTTGAAACACCCCTGAACCTCTCCCCCCTGCTACTATTTGGCCAGCTAGCTCCCTCTGTGACTCTGGTCCCTTTCTCTTGCTGAGCCTTGGCCTTGAAGGGGATGTTCTGGAGCAAAGGCCTAGGCTTGGCTCAAACCCATCTCCTCCTGCGCTGCCATTTTGCTGCACTGCATTATCCACGTGGCTGAATACCAAACCGCACATGATGTGGGCGATCTGTGACTTCCCAACCTTCGCCTCTTAAATATTAAAGGAGGCCTAAGTGGCTAAAAAATTGGTGAGAGGAGCACCGCTTATCCAATCAGATTTGCAGTCCCTCATGTCTTGTTCGGTTGTTTCTTCTTAACTATCCCATTCTGTGTGCCTTATCCAAGAGATCCCTTACAAAAGGGGTAGCCAGTGCTCTCCAGATGTTGGATTTCCAGCGCCCAGCAGCCCTTTGGTCCCAGAGTTTTAGTCCTGCAACACCTGGACAGCAGCAGATTGGTTATTTCATACCTTATAGTGTCTCCGAGGATGCGGGAGTGCACCTGTGGGACGATGCTCAGTTGTGCCCCAGCATCCTCTTCTGCAATACTGGCGAAGATACTGGGATGCCCATCTTGGGCCCACACACTGCTTCAAGAGCACTTACAAAAAATATTTCGGGACCTCAAACAAGCCCTGCCCAACTCCCCACCCCCTCCCCCAAAGGGTGTGTAGAAAACCTTTTGCCAAACTCTAGCGCTGGCGGGGGGGAGGGGCAGGCAGGCATCCTAACCTCTTTCTCAAAGATGGGGGAGATAGTTCTGGTCCCCAAATCTTTCTGTAAATGGAAGAGGATGACTGCTCTGTAGTATTCGGTGGGCTGAGTAGGAGATATTCGTATTCTAAGAGGCTCTGTAGAATCCAGCGGTCAGCAACCCAACACGGTGTAAGTGACCCTTTGCCAGGTGACAGAAGGTGCCCAGGAGTGCCCCACAAAAGGTGACTTTGGGGGGGCAGACATGCAAAGCCAAGATTTGTAAAATTCAGAATTATCCGGAGAGAGTGAGTAAAAGTGAGTTATTCTCCCTCTCCCAGAACTGGAACTTTTGAGTCATCCAGTGACAAATTGACTGGCAGAAGAATTTTGTCATATAGAACACTAACGTAGGCAGTCCCTTGCTACAAGATGACACGATGGCAACTACGGTACATCTGTTGGCTAAAAAGGGAAATACAGCGCATTGATGGAGACCAAGTGTGCCGGTGACTAAGAGTCTGATTCTGGGAGCAATTAATTCCAGGACTGGCCGGTCAAGTGCTCATACAAATGGAGGCACAGTGTGTTCTTTGCTCTGATCCAGAAAAGCATTTTTGATGTTTTAAAGCGGTCTCACAGCCTGACACAGCTATCTATATTGTGGTGCTGCGTGGAGATGGTGATGTTATGAAATGAAGCCTATGGCTTCAAAGGAGAGCCTCTGCAGCCCCGCTTAAGATTGTACGGATATGTGAGACAAAGCAAGGAGCACCACAGTTCTTGTGTATAATAAACTCCAATCTCTTGAGGTGTCTGCTGAAATGAATGGGTATCAACTGAAGCCTAAGCTAGATAAAGCTACCATCTTGCCAGATCTAAGCTGCCTCCCCAATCCAGCACTTCCTATGGCCTTCTGGCTCTTTGTAATCTTAACTAAATATGTGGGAGACCCCCTTTATATCTATTTGTCTCCCTGTCTTTGGATAATCACATATATGTGCAACCCAATCCTATGCATATACATTTGGATGCATTTAGTGGGATTTACACCCAAGTAAGCAGGGATAGGATCGCAACCAAAGTCAGATATACGGTCTTCAAAACAGAGACAGCAACAATTCCTCTGCTCTGTTGTTTCATAAAAAATGTTTTTGGGATGTGGTGGGAAGGGATTTTGGTAAGAAAATCCACGCATTCATTTATTTCTCTTTTTTAAAAAAGTTTCTGTAATGGGTGCACCTGCCTTGGCTAGCTCCCAATGAATGGCCTCAAGATCTTAATGTGCTTTGTATCCCTTCCTCCCCTGAAAACGTGCGCTGTGGTCACAGACCAATGCAAAATTTGTATTGCTTTTAAATGTTTTTCTGTCCTCGTATGTCATCCTGATGTTCTGCGAGACGGCGGTATATAAATCCGTCTATAAATACATTTTTTAATTAATCGCTCTGTCATAAATTAAATTTGGTATTGACTAATGGTTGCAAACCCATATTTCCAAGTAATGGTTTGAAACAACTACGTATTGCAATGCACTTATGCAAGTTGTAGATCCTTCTTGTGCTTCCTCCTTCTTTCCAAACATCAGTGTCACTAAGCAAGACAGAGAGGACAATGCCCTTTGGAACATCCTTAGCTGTTTGGGTTGCAGTCTGGTGGGAAGTTCTGTGCAAACCGGGGGAGTTGCCAAAGAAATGTAAAAACAAGGATGCAGAAAAGGGGAGGCATGGGGAAGTCCGGGAAGTAAGGTATAGGAAAAGAGGGTTATGAAATTATACATGTTAAATGTTTGTTTGTTTGTTTATGTATTGTATATTGTTTGTGTTTATTTTGTGTTTGGAAAATCAATAAAAATCATTATTAAAAAAAAAGGAAGTTCTGTGCAAACCCCACTGAAATGAAGGCATTGTGCAGATCTTGTTCATTTCGGTGGGCTTTGAGCATGATAGTATCCTGCTGGATTGCACCTTTCATTTTTTCTTTTTAATAGCTCCAGCGTAGGCATTGGGTATGTTCTTCTTCAGTGTTAACCTCCAAAGACTCCTCCCACCCCCAAATTCAGAATGTACATATACACAGATAAATTAAAAAAGATTTGAAAAAACAAAAAAAAACAAAAAAAAACCCAACTTTAAAAATAAATTAATAATAATAATAGCTTGGTTAAAGTTAACTCTGAATACCAGCATGTTAAACCAATACTTACAGCCCCTTAGAACTGAATTGTATATATAGGGGGTTATCTGAACAAGTCATACTCCAGAGTAAACCCATTGAAAGCAATGGAACACGAGTCCATTTATTTCAATGGGTCTTCTCCGTTTGACTTAGTCAGATGCCACCCACCGAGTTAAATACCGCTTCTCCATGTGGACCATGGGGAAAATATGTTTTGAGGATAGAAATGACATAATTGTGGCACGATAGGACATATACTGTATTCTTAGGCTGGGTTTGAGACAGGTGGCCTTGGCTTCGCCAGTTATCACAGATATTGGGATCCAGCTCTTGGTTCCAAGAGATGCCATCCCATATATTACTAAGGGCAGACTACGTCCCCCTGGGTGATCTTGTATAATCCTATTTTTTTACTAGCTGAGCTTTTCAGTTTGCTTCGTTCTCGAATTATGAATCCTTGTTTAGAAGTTTTAAGGGCAGTCTTGAGAACTAAGTGGCTGTTATAACTGAAAAGGTTATGTAAGCTTTGGGCTTTATATATCCGCTTCATTTCTTTGGAATATCTATATCTCACCTTTTGTGTGAATTATCCTCAAGCTGGCTTGACTGCAGCAGTGCACACCTGTGTAAACACTCAGCCCAAGCCCACACAACCCAACATCATCCCTTAGTCCCCCTGGTCAACTGATGGGGCCAGAGTGTGCTTCCTTCGACTCTGCAGTTCCAAGGCAACTGGCAGGCAGGGGTTGAAGAATCTCACTGCACCTGCTTCTTCCGTGATGGATGGATGGGAGCAAGTTGGTGCCCACCCCTTGCCGTGATGTTCTTCTAGAAGGCAGGGCATGAAAACTTCCAGTGGCCCAGTCCCTTGGCCAATGTCAGACATCAGAGAGTGCCAGTGTGGTGTAGTGGTTAAGAGCGGTAGACTCGTAATCTGGTGAACCGGGTTCGCTTCCCCGCTCCTCCACATGCATCTGCTGGGTGACCTTGGGCCAGTCACACTTCTTTGAAGTCTCTCAGCCGCACTCACCTCACAGAGTGTTTGTTGTGGGCGAGGAAGGGAAAGGAGAATGTTAGCCGCTTTGAGACTCCTTAAAGGGAGTGAAAGGCGGGATATCAAATCCAAACTCTTCTTCTTCTTTTTAGTGCTGGAATCTCAGGGTACTTGGACCAGTGTATTCGTTAACTTACAAAAATTTCCCATGGAACTCAAGGGCAATTACATGCAGAGGATTGTACTGATTAAGTTGCTTACGCATACTAATAGTATATTCAGTTTTACTAAAATGAATTTAAATGTTGAACAACCTTTTCACATTTATAACAGGCCATTGAGCATGCCGCGTGATTGTCTTCTAGTTAACATTCCTAATGTACTGCTGCTTAATACATAAGGAGCATTTATCCATCTAATAAGCAGGTGTATTTACATGTAACATTTCCCAAAATTCATAAAAATACCAAGTTTGTTTATTCAGCTATAGATGAACACGTCAATACATAATAGTATACTTTGTAGATAGTCTACATGCTCTCTTTGGATATAACCTATTTTAGTAATTATATTAACTGGTTGGTATGTATCATTGCTTAGGAAAGGTATGACATACCAGTGGGATGGGAAATTTGATTTAAATTAATGATTTAAATTGTAGGGTGTGTGCTTTTTAACTCAACAAGAGAAAGGCCAATATAAATCATTGGTTTAATTCAAGTTTCTCATTATACTTCAAACCTTCCCTAAACAATTACCCATATTCCCTCAATTCTAATGAACCCACCTTGCCTTCTTAAAGTATCAGCAGCCCTTCTAAGTTAAATGTCTACCAAAAGACAATGAAATTGTCTGTGCCATTAGGCTCAAAGCAGTTTTCAGTGAGAAAACATTTTTTTACCCTGTGAAGAATGCGCAAAATGGGCATTTTGGATATCAGCTTGATGGACACTTCATTTTATTATACACAGGGAATGAGGAAACCAGTTT